AATGAAAAATTTCCTTTGTACTCTTTTACTATCTTTCCATCAAAATGAACAGAAATCAATTTATGACATAAGTTGGCCAGGTTCTTGATGTACTGTCGAATTTTTTCAGCTTCTGAATTAATCACATGATCTATGGCTCTTAAAGAAGAAGATTTAGAGACAACATATTTACCAACATTTCCTCCTGGGAGAGCTATTACACTGCTTAACATAGCAGTGTGCTGATTCACTGAAAGACCTTCACCTGTAGCAGTTATAGCAGTACGCCTGAGAACATCTTTAGGTAAAAGTACACTATTTTGTTAATCCTGAACATTTGTGGAAACAAACTCATCCAGATCACTTTCATTGACATCACCTGCATTACTTAATGAATCAACAGAAGTGTCTAATTCATCTTCATCTAATTCCACCAACTGCATCAGATTTCTCACTCACATCTCCACAAACATTTTTAGAAGCTCTCTCAGCTGCCTTTTTGAAGCTGGTGTCGTTAGGTCGTATGTAACCTGTACTTTTCTCCTTTTGCATATTCAAGAATTTGATATCTTCTTTCTTGACTTCAGCTGTTCTTTTTCTGTCCTGTTGTATGTCTTCAATTAATACTTCTATGTTATATTCTATCCAAAATACCTTCTTAGATTCTGTTACAAAGTTCTCCCTCTTCATGATTTCTGCTGGTTTTTCTCTATTCCTAATAGATTGCAACTTCTTGTAGTTATCAGCAATGTTTCTACTTCCTTCCTAAAATGATTAATGATAAAAGACTTCAAGTAATTACAAATAAAGTAATCAAGTAATTACAAATTATATTAATATTAATGAAACAAACCTGAGAGAATTCTGTACATCACGAGTTCTATACCCCTCGAGCTTCCAAGGAACCACCAGCTTAGACATAATACAGCAGTGATTCTTATCTTCTGGACAGATTTATGTAAAACCATTAATGTTGGTACAGCAGGCAAGATTTCTCAGAGCAGCATATAGCATGATTTTACGAAGGTGAAGGTAATACTGAATAATCTCTTCTCCTATGGCAAATTGCTTAGATAGAAGTGAGTCCCTTGATTTACCTACTAAGAATATTTCATCAGCCCTCTTTCTTTTTTTCCTAGGAGTTCTTGGCATTTTATCTATTTAACTATAAAAGAAATAATAGACATAACATAATTTAACTTTATATATTTTAAAATTAAAGAATAAACATATTTCTTAGAACTTCACTTGTATTTGTTTAAGTTTTGCTACGAGTTCAAACACTTGATTGACGTCTCTTGCAGTCTTATTGCCAGTTTGGAATAAATGTGTACAGTTGTACTCAGTACTGTTGTACGCTGAGAAAATATGTGGGTTATAGAGTACATTGAAGTCTAGATAGTCTTCTTTCTCATCTTAATTAATTTTGAATTATCTAAAAAAATATTATTTATATTGGTAAAAGATTTTCTATACATATTTATGAGATTTTAACTGTAAAAAATGATAAAAATGTCGTCATAAGAAAAACTAAAAAAATACAAATCTGGTCAAAAGTTATTCCTAATATTTTTTAATATTAGGAATAATATTTTTTATTATCTCAAGATAATAAAAAGTATTATCTAATGTCTGATCATTTCACAATTCAGATTAAAACATTGTCTAGTTTGCAGCTCTAAAAAGTTGAAACTAGATGAATAAGTACAGGGTGGCCACTGGTCATGGAAATCATGGAAATGTCATGGAATTTTATTTGGTCACGGAAAAGTCATGGAATTTCTAAATTTGTATTGAAAGTCATGGAAAATTTATGGAACTTTTTAAAATGATTATTTTTTTCTACTTGTGATATTTTTAGGATGCAAAGAAAATTACTAGTATATCTATTAAAAGATATTTTTGTAAAAATATATTTTTGCAGTGTATTTTTGCAAGTACTGAGTATTTTACTCTAGTAATTTATTATAAAAGTTTATGTCATATAAAAGTCATGAAACTTCATTTTCAAATTTGAGTGGCCACCCTGAAGTAGGATAGAGTTGAATAGGAAGGATATATAGTTTGTAAAAATTAATTTTCACTTGAGATTCTGAGATTCAAAAGCTAATGAAAACTCCTCTCTGGTGTCATCATATTTTTAAATTATTCTTTGGGTCATTTTGGAAAACTTTTTATTTGGAAAACTTTTTATTAGAAAAACTGGAAAAATCTTCCTTAAAAAAATGAAAATGAAAATTGCATTTACTTTATGTTCAAAATATATACATTAAAATAAACATATAGAACAAATTCAAATAAAGTTTCTTATCTTTAGGGCAAGACTACGCTAAACATAATTTTTAAAGTGGTCAAAATTATTTGTTGATACACAATTGAGCACAATACAAATTAAAGTATCACATTTTGTTGGATTTTCCTACAAAATCTTAATTTTGACATATTTTAGGCTAAAAATGAAAATAACCAAATCAATTTTGGCATAATTCAAAAATGTTTTTTTCTATTTTTTTTTTTTAATTGTTTGTATTTTCATGTGTAGAGGAACATGTTTTTTTGCAAATGTGCAATTTTCAAAATTTTTGTTTTTTGGCCTGCCCTAAGTCAAAAAAATAAAATCTTTTCTATGAGTTTTTTTTTTTTGACCTGCTTCAAACTGATTGATAATCTTAATAAAAAACAACTTTTTTCGACTCAATTCAAAAGGTAATTTTTAAAAGTAAAATAAATTTTTGATAATTAAAAAGCTTCTTAAACAAGTTGATGCAAAAAATTTACCATCCACCTCTTACTTCCTATTACATTCAATTTTTTTGGGGCAATATTTTAGCATAAAAACCCGAATCTTTATATAAAATTTGGCAGTACTCAGAATCATCCTATTACACTTTTTTTTACCATTCTAAAATGTACAAAGAAATTATCATGTTGCCTTATGAACTAGAAAACATCTTGTTGCCTTATGCTAAGGAAAATCTTCCTTTGGATCAGAAATTCCAACAATTCAACAAGACAATGACCAATTCAAAAATCCAACAAGACAACAAGATAACCCCAAGAACAGGATTGATGTTTTGTAGTGGCCCGCAAAGTCACCAGACCTAAATCCCATTAAAAATTTGTGGAAGGTTGAAGTTGGCAGAAACATAAATCGATCAACGGCAACAAATTTAGACCAATTTTGGATTGATATAAAGGCTTATTGCCATTACACCTGAACAATGCCAAAAATCTTGTCAATGGGTCGTCGTTGTTAAGCAGTTATCGACTCAAAGGGATACACCTTAAAATATTGCCTCAAATAAAGTTTTCTTAACTATTTATACAAAGAACTTCTACGATTTTTATAGCAAAGGGACAAAATGATAATTCTTTTTTTAACTAAGTTAATTAATTTTTTTACTCAATAATGTTATCTTCTTAACTAATACTTTATTAGGCTAGAAAAGTTTGGATCTGAAAATCTCAGATCTCTGGAAAATATATCATTAAACATCAATCTGTGCTATTTATTTTGTCGCCACTGCATATGTGTGTGTATATATATATATATATATATATATATATATATATATATATATATATATATATATATATATATATATATATATATATATGTATATATATATTCATATTTATGTTTATTATAATTTGGTATAGTGTAGTTGTATAGTCTGTCTTATTTATTTTTTAATATTCCTCTATTAATCTTTATTTTTGTCTTGACAACTGTCAAAATATGCTTTGTTCAATAAATAATTCTCCTTTATTCTAATGTACTTCATTTCTTCCCTCGGGCGTTCACTGCTCGTATGTGACTATTTAGCAAATTTTATATGCCAAAGTTTTTAAATAAATATTAATTTACCTCAAATAAAGTTTTCTTAACTATTTATACAAAGAACTTCTATGATTTTTATAGCAAAAGGATAATTCTTTAACGGGTGTGCTATTTAAATTGCCCCCTTATTCTGCACCTCTAACTCATTTATATGAACGATTTTTTTTTTAACTAAGTTATTTTATTTTTTTACTCAGAAAATGTTATCTTCTAAACTAATATTTTATAAGGATAGAAAAGTTTGGATCTGAAAATCACAGATCTCTGGAAAATATATCATTAAACATCAATCTGTGCTATTTATTTTGTCGCCACTGTATATATATATATATATATATATATATATATATATATATATATATATATATATATATATATATATATATATATATATATATATATATGTATATGTGTGTGTGTGTGTGTTATATATATATATATATATATATATATATTCATATTTATATATAGAATTTTAAATGCGGTAGTAGAATGGTCGAGTACTCAGCTCACAATCTTGAGGTAGCCAAAAAAATTCTACTCCCTTATATTGTATTTCTTTTTTCCCTTAAGAAAAAAGAAAAAACAAAATTCAATAAAAAAATGATTGCAACCTAAACCTTTTGTCGATGTAACAGTACTCCTAACAAATATTTGAATACTTTAATCCACAGTAGTCCACAGTGAAAATATTATTTTAACGCAAAAAAAAATGTATAAATTTAATAATTTTTTGCTTCATTAATACGTTAGCGTAGAATTCTAAATGTAACAAAGTTCAAAATTTGAGACGAGGCTGTCATCCTGATGTTGGGTGCAGGATCAAATTCTTTTAATTGAACCTTTTTTTTTTTTTTTCCTTAAAGATAATAGCAAATGTTTTGAATTTTTTAAAGTTTTTTAGTTAAGAATTAAATTTTTATTTATTAAGTGTTGAATTAAGCTTTAAAGTAATTAGAAATTAAATAGTTTTGAAACTTTTATCTTTTTTAAAATTTATTATGTGAAACAGTTTTCAATAAAAAAGACATTTATTTATAAATTAATTGTGTACATTTAATTGTAGGATACAAATTGTTAAGTAAGCATGTATATTTATTCTGTACATTAAATTGTAGGATTTAAATCGTTAAGTAAACATGTATATTTATATAAAGAAATACTCAATTGTGTAATTTAGATTGAAGATGTAATTGCTGTTGTTGAAAAAGTAAAAGCATGTGGAAATAATCAGTTCAAGACCCAAAATTATATAACAGCTTTAAAAAAATACAAGAAAGCAATTAAGTATATTAAATATGCAAGTAAAACATCAGATATTTCTGAAGATGATTCTGACCATGCTGTAGAAGTGGAAGCCAAAATTAGTGTTAAAGCTGATTTTAATAGTAAATCAAAGGCAATTTTAGATGCATTACTTATAAATTGTTTCTTAAATAGGTATATTTTAGATGCATTACTTATAAATTGTTTCTTATATAGGTATATAAAGTTTTTTATTTTATATTGTCTCATTTTTTTGATTTCAATTTGATTTCTTATTATTAAAATTTTTGTTCTTATTCTTATTTTTAATATATCCAGCTGGCAATAATTTTTAATTTATCCAGCTGACGATAATATTTAATGTATCCAGCTGTCAGGTTAATATTTATGACAATCATCTAGCTGGCAGGTTAATATTTATAACAATCATTCAGCTGGTGGGTTAATATTTATGGTAATCACCCGGCTGGCAGGGTAATATTTATGGTAATCATACAAATAGCATTTATTTTTGTATAACACAAGTTATTGATTTAGTAAATGCCAAAACAAACTCTTTTTTATTAAACTGTAAGAAACTCTACTAAGAATATTTGAGTAATTGATTATTATAAAATAGTTTAGAATGTTTGAATGATAAATGGGCACAATAATTAATTTAATTAACAAGTTTTGATATTTATAAGTTGGAAAGTATTTTATGTTGATATTTACAAGTTAATTGTAAATATCAACAGAAAATAAATTAATAGCATCCATCTTTATTAAAACATTTTCAATATCAAATAGTATGTGTAAAATTCTTTTTTTGTTACTTTTTTACTTAGTAAAAACATCGTACTTTTGTTACATCCTATAATAAAATGTAAGAATGCTTTGCAATAAAGTGTGGTAGGCGCCATGATTTTTACTTTGTAACAATTTAATATGTCTTTTTTTTAGTCGATTGGTAGAATAAGTTTATACAAAAACAGTTTACAAAAATATTTTTTTTAAATATTTTGAAAGATTGATGACAGATTATGTGAATGATAATGTATCAATTGGTCATACAGATTTAGTTATGTAGATGCAAACTCTTGTCAAATTGTAACTTTTTAGTAACACAATATATATACTTGTTAAACGTGTGCCACTGTGTAGCATAAAAAATAATGGAATAGTTTAAACATGGCTTTAAAGGCTTTTTGAAACAGAATGCAATTTTGACTGATAAAATGCAATTTAAAATGTAATCAAGAATGAATCCAAAATTAATCTGATTCAACACATTTTTTCTACATACTTGTTTTTTAGTAAACTATATGTTAAATGGTTTTTATGTTCTATACATAGGCTGTAATGCTGAACGATATGTTCTATATAGATTTTTGTGTGACCCACACATCGTTTGAAAAGTTGCATCAAAGAAGCTTAAAGTGTTTGAATTATGAGAGAATAAAGTTGCAGTTGAATGGGTTGTTAACATGACTTGGCAGTTTATGAGAAATAATTTAGGTCAAAGTTTGAAAACTTGAAAAAAATGTGTAACATGTGAAAGAATGTGTAACATGAAAATGAGTCTCAAAAACTCAAGTTGTTTCTAAAGTATTTGTGGTCATTCATAATTAGGTTTTAAGCTGTTTAGGTTACAGTGTGAATATTGTGGTTTGCATTTCAATCTTTGATTTACTTTTTATGTTTAAATATTTTTTAAGCTTATGTTAAACTAATTACATTTATGTTAACTACCAAACAATTTTTATTATTTACATTATGCAATAGTGGTGTAGTCGGCCATGAGGAGGAGAATTTAAATTTTTAAAAGTGTCAAAAATCAAGTAAAGGAAAAAAAAGTAAGCTATGATGCATAAGGTTTATTTTAAGGTAGAAAAAAAAGGTTTATAATCCAAATACAGGAAAATACTACTTATTCTGATATTTTGTAAATATCTGGAAGTTAAAAGGTTTCAGTAATTATTTAATTCCTGTGAAAAGCATATTGGAAAAGTTTAAATCTCTCAATCATATAATGTAAAAGTTTGTCCAACAGTAGAAACTTTCAGGTTAAAAGAAAAAATTTCCAACAGCCAATAAAAATAACTTTTAAAGTATGATAAAGCAATCTTTGACATCAGTTCAAAAAAATTTGAAAAAAAGTTGAGACATGACGAATCAATGCCCTACTTTTGCTGTGCAAGAGGGTTTTTGCATTCTTAGGTAATCAAAGGTATTAGTTGCTTAATTTTTCAAAGATTCAACCAATTGAAATAACATATCTACTTATTTTTTTAAAGAATCATTTTATTGAGATTTGTTTTAATCAAAATTTATTTTACACTAAGTGTTTTTAACAACAAACTTTATACAAATATGTTAAGATATTGTATGACAGCATTTAAATAAACAGCAAAAATACTTGTTTATATCCATATTATGTATGTGTAATCTTACTAAACTTCCTGGATCCAAGCAGGTATAGAAGCTTTCTCATCCATTGTTGTAAGGTTCTTTTTTTCGACAAATATCATAGTCACTGCTCAAACAAGCTATCATCTCTAGTTCAATCAAAACTCATTCTCACTTGGCTTGTCATTCAACAAAGTTGCATTCTTTTACTGTATCTGTCTCTCCATGCTATAAAATTTTTCTAGTTTATTTATTTAGTTTATTCATCTAACTTATTTATTTAGTTTATTCATCTAGTTTATTTCCTTGCACATTAACTAAATCTCAAAACTCTCATCCAGCTTCATGTTTCCTGACTCATACAACCTGCAACTTTTTAATTCTTTACCACTTTGGATTCCTAGCCCGGGCTGTCAACTCCTGCTAAATCTTATAATTTTGCCGAGGCTATGTTTGCAAAAAGTCCCATTTTTAACCAAGCTTAGTGTGACTTAAACACTAAGCTTGTCACACTAAGCTTGACTTGGACAGAAAAAAATATTAGTTTGATTTTAAACTTTGTTCACAGTTCCCACAATGAGGATCAAAGACAGAGCTAAATTTTTGGTAGTTAAGAATAATAAAAGTTATGTGGGTATCTAAACTGGTTAAGCTGAAACATAAAGTTAATTAATGTAAGATAGTTAATGTAAGATAAGGGTTTACTGTAAAAACTTTTTTTTTTAAGATTAAACAAGAGTTTGTTTATAAACATATGTTAACCATAAAAATAGCATAAAGTTTAGCCAATTCTTAATATTTGAAAAACTACTTGTATCACATCTATTGTCAAATTTAAACTTTGAATTTAACCAGTTTAAAAATTGAATTTGTTATGAATTATATTACTATGAATTTATTGCAGTTTTATGCCACCCTATTTTATCTTTTTCCTATTAATCAATTCTAGAATTTTTTTTCTTTAGTGCTGCTTGTATGTTAAAGTCAAATGAGAATCAATCTGCTATCAAAGATCTTGATGAAGTACTTTATTTCTACTTATTTTATCTTATGTATGATTGTAATTTTATTATTTTATCTTATGTAAAGTAATTATGATTGTAATTTTATTATTTTTAGGTGCTTTCTATTGATTCCAAAAACATTAAGGCTTTGTACAGAAGAGCTCAAGCTAACATTAGTATGAAAGATTTAGAGCAAGCAAAGGTTTGCACATATTTAACTTTGGTGTACTTTTATTGAATAAAGTAAAGATTATATATTTAATCAATAAATGTTAAGTTTGGCATAGTAACATAATTAAAAAATACATATCATTGGATAATGTTGAATTAAAGATTTGCTTTAATTGATATTTTGACATCAAAAAAGAATTCGAAGAAACATGCTAAAAATATTAAATTTAAAGAGTTTTAAAAATAAAGAGCAATGTTTTACAATTTTGTGTTTTTAACCATCATGTTTCACCAACTTGTTTATGCTTAAATATGCTGGACAAATTTTTTGGCCTTTTATTAGGTTTTTTTAATTACCTGCTTCGAGATATTTAGTTGTTTTTTGCTTAGGTTTTCCTGCAATTTTTACAGATTTCATTTTTTTTTCTTTCTTTTTTTTTTTTATTTTTTTT